TGTCATACTTAGGCTTCAACAGCATAAGCCAAATCTCGCCTGGCAAGGACCAGAAGGGGTCGAGCGACGGCGAGACGAACGGCGCAGCGCCCACGAGGCCCTGTGAAGATCCCGCCACCCCCTAGCCTCCGCCGAGTCCCGAGCAGACATGCCTCGCGGGGCCAGCGAGGCCCTTTCTTGCAGGAAACTGACAAGAGAGACCTGGGCCGTCTGCAGCCCACCTCGGTTGCCAGGAATGCCCAGCGAACACGCGAGTTCATCAGCCGATGCATGGTGACGGCGCACAGACGAATAGTTGCGACGCTTCGGACCCATGCCCGAGCCAGACAGACGGCGACAAACATACTGGACCTTAGACAAAGCACGGCGCCTCCAAGCCTCATGCACGCCCTCAGTCCACGCACGACGGAGCGATCTCGTCCAGCGGCGAACCTCCCACTTGATGCGATTCGTGAGGTCACGGATCTGCATGTCGTAGTGGACGCGCGGCGTGCACTGAGCCCGAAGCCGAGTCCGCTGCCGAAGAAGAAGAAGAAGACGAACAGCAGCGCGGTGCTCAGCCAGGGCCGCACCAGGGGCACGCCGCGCACGACCGAAGTACTTTTTGACGAACGGCATCAGGATGGAGACCAGCGTGTCATAGCCCTCGTCGATGCAGCTGGCCTCAAAAAGCCCGAGAAGGGCGGGGGCGGGTGACTTCATGGCGGCGTTCAGCTCAGACGAGAAATCCTCTCGGAAACCTGGCGTCTGCAGCGCCATCTCGATGACATCGAAGTTCCACGCCATAGCCGCCGAGCCATTCTGCAAGCTCGGCACACCCGCCTCGAACTCGAGCAGGATGGGCGCGTGATCTCGCAGTGGGCCCTTGCTCGGGAAGAGCTGGAGCGATCGCACACCCTTGGTCATGGTGACTAGCTTCTGGATGCAGTTCAGGGCGCCCTGCGGGACCACGAAGTGGTCGATCTAATAGACACTCTTCTCGCCAAAGAAAGACGGCGCAAGCCTGTGGAAGGTCGTGGCACAGCCCAGGAAGTGCCTGTGCATCAGCTCGCGCAAGGACCGAGCCGCGTACCCCATGCGATCCTGGACGAAGGGGCCGACGCACTGAAACGAATCCGAGGTGTCGTAAACCGCGAACGAGTCGTTCAAATCAGCGAAGATGATGGGCGTCGTCCTCTCGGCCGCGGCGTCCAGCTGCACAGTCAGCCACTCGATGAGCACGTCAACCATGCGTCTCCACGAGGCCTGAGCCCCACGAGGGCCAGGGGGAGGGACGTACAGAACCAGAATCGTGAGATCCACCGAGCCCGAGGTGACACGAGCGAGACCCGCGCGGCCCGCAGCAGCAGCAGGCCCAGGAACCACTCGATGGACCTTCAACGCCAAGTCCCGCCTCCTCAAGCCGATGCTGACGCCCGCCGAACGATTAGTGAAGGGGCCCCGTCCGTAGCCGAAGTGCAGGTATTCATGGTCCCCACAGACCTGGCGCCGCACCGCCTCAGATTGCGCGCGGAGCCTCGTACCGACGAGGGCGTGGACGGGGTAGTTGCGACCGTACGTGGCGATCTCGAGAAGGCACCTCGGTTGCACGAGGCTGCACACATTGTAGCCGAATACTTTGCACCGCATGGGCCCTGGCGAGGTCAGACGTCTGCAGCCATCGGCGCAGGGCCCCACTCGGACATGTATGTGTCGACTGTTCCGCCTTCAGCGGGGGCTGCCGAAAAGGGCCCTCCAGGAGGCGTCTCGACACAGAAAGGGGCTAGGAGGAGGAAGGAAGGAGGAGAACGCGGGGCATCGTCTCTTCAAAACGAGGACCCAACACCACAGGATGGTTGGGAAAAAAAACCATGGGTCCACGCCCTCTCCGGGAAAAAACTCGCGGTGGGGTTTTCCTCTCTGACGGAAACCTCACCTCGGTGCACCCCTCAAAAACCTCGTGCATGATGGGCGCTCAGCTGGCCCCCGAAGACGGCTCCGCAGAGCCTCAATCTGGCACACCCCTCACGCACGTCTTGCCCCCTGGACCTCCAGGGACCTCCAGGGGCCCGCCGACCTTCAGGACGGCTGAAATGAGCCTCCGGTTGGCACACACCCCTCGCGCAACTCGCGCCCCGTGGCCTCCCAAGGGCCCATGGCCCTCATCGGACCCCTCCGACGGCCCCGGGGAGCTGGACTTTGGCACCCCCCTCCGGCGCTTCGCGCCCCGTGCACGGGACCCTCAGCTGGCGCCCGGCCTGGCCCCTGGGGACGCCGGCTGCCCTCAGTTGGCGCCCAACCCAGGCCCCCAGGGGGCGCCGAGCTGATCCGACGAACATCTGCCACGAGTGGCACCGACCCTCTCGGAAGCCACACCCCCGAGCACCGACGGATTCCAAAATCTGCGGGCGAGCTTCCCCGCGGGGGCCCAGCGTGACTCCCGCCCTGCGGGCTCAATCGAATTCGCCGCGCCCCCATGCGAGCCCCAGCCGGATTAGCCTTCGAAGGTAGATGATGAGGTGATGATGGTGGGAATGATGGTGAAGTAGAAGATGAAGGTGATGGTGAGAGTGATGGTGACGTAGAAGACGGTGAGAGGCATGCACGATGAAGGCATGCCGAGAGCGGCCTCGCGCATTCCGCCAGCCGCTGCTGCATCACGGCTGCCGCAACCCAGGCGGGGTTCACGCACAGACTCTCGATTCGGCACACCCCTCACGCAGTTCGTGGCCCTGCACCTCCATAAACGCTCAGACGTCATGAGGGCTTCCGCGCGCAAACTCTCCTGGGGCACGAAATGATGCAAGACATCTGCGCTTCCAGGCTCGTAGGACGTACTACGGATCTGCGCATGCAAGCTCCTGATATGTATATATATATATATATATATATATCAATAGCTCAATGCTCCCAGGCTTGCGGGACACGCACAACCTCGGTATATCGACGCTCCAAGGACCAAGAGAGCAAAATTCGGCACACCCCTCACGCACGTCGTGCCCTCCGGGGCCTCCAGAGGCGCTCAGCTGGCGCCCAAGATGACTGGAGCTTCTATCCAGCACACCTCTTACGCACCTCGTGCCTCGTGGACTCCCAGAGGCCCTCAGGCTAGCCTCCCAGTATGACTCAAGGGGGGTCGTAATTCGACACGCCCCTCACACACTTCACACCCCACGGACTCCCGGAGGCCTTCAGCTGGCCCCTCAAAACATGATTGACCCACGAATCCGGAAAGGAAAATAGAAATATGAGGCATGGCAACGTTTTCGAGACACCTGGGTGTATCGATATTGATGTACCGTGCCAAGGGCTGTGCTGTGCTGCGCCGTGCTGAATTGCGATGTGCCATGCCGCGCTTGTGCTCTATAGCGTTGTGGATAGAATCCTCCTTAGCACCCGAGTCCTGACCGAACTGATCTGGATCTTAAGCTCGAGCTGCCCTAGCACATAGTAGCTGCCCCAACACTCGTTGAAGTGGAAACGTGGAGGACGTTCAATCAACTCGTCCTCAAAATCCGAATAAGCTCCAAAAAGGAACGACACGACACGGGGCACGGGCTCACGGACCCGCCACAGGATGTGCCAGGGGCGCAATCAATAGGGGATGCACCAGGGGGCGTATCAGAGGACGTACCCTGGACGTGTCAGGGACCTGTCACAGGACGTGCCAAGGCGCTGCAAGGGACACGCCACGGAACGGGCAGGGGAAACGCCTGGAGACGAGAAAGGACGAGCCAGGGAACGTGCCACACCGAGCGGCATGCTAGGCGACGTGCCAGGGCACGTCACGCCAGAACGTCGCAAGGGGGGCGCCAGTGGACGCGCCAGCGCAAGAGTGGACGCCCCACGGACGGGCCGGGTTGAACTGCGACGCGCTCTACTGCGACAAGCGTTTCGCTCGAGACATCCTCAACACATCCTCATGTTAGACATCCGCCTGGACGACCTGGACGCGTGAAAACAAGCGTATCGCCCGAGGCATTCTCAACAAATCCTCATGCTAGACATCCGCCTGGGCGACCTGGACACGTGAAACCAAGCGTCTTGTTCGAGACGATCCCAACACCTCCTCATACTAGCCATCTGCCTGGGCAACCTGGACGCGTGAAAACAAGCGTTTCGCCCGAGGCGCGCTCAACACATCATCATGCGAGACATCCGCCAGGACGACCTGGACACGTGAAAACACGCGGCTCGCTCGAGGCGTTCTCAACACATCGTCATGTTAGGCATCCGTCCGGGCGACCTGGACACGTGAACACAATGCGTATTTCTCTTGAAACATTATCAGCAAGTCCTCATGCTAGACATCCGCCTGGGCGACCTAGACACGTGAAGCCAAGCGATTCGCCCGAGACAATCTTGACGCATCATCATGCGAGACATCCGCCAGGACGACCTGGACACGTGAAAACGCGCGGTTTGCTCGATACGTCCTCAACACATCATCATGCTAGGCATCTGCCTGGGCGACCTGGACACATGAAAACCAAGCGTATCTCTCTTGAGACGTCCTCAACAAATCCTCATGCTAGACAACGGCCTGGGCGACATGGACGCGTGAGAACAAGCGTCTCGCTCGAGGCATCGCCAACATATCCTCATACTAGACATCTGTTTGGGCAACGTGAGCGCGTGAAGCCAAGCGTCTCGCTCGAGACATGTTCAAGAGCTGGGCACGTGAAAACAAGCATTTTATCCGAGATATCCTCTGAAATCTGATCCCCAGGAAAGGAACATTCTATAACACAAAACAAGCGTCTCGCTTGAGACATCCTCGGCAAATCTGCAAAATAACCGATTCGCTCGGGACATCCGCAACAAACGAACATGTGCACGTGACCATGTCTTGCTATCTATCGAACTACTTTTTTTTTAATTAACAAAAAAAAAAAAGCGTTTCGCTCGGGACATCCGCAACTGTTTAAATCGCTGGCCCTTCTCGACCCCGTTATCTATATATCGCAAAATAAATTCGCCGGCCGCCTTCAAATCGAAACTGGGGGCAACAAAACTAAAAGAGAACCCTGGATCCCAGCCCTTTCCGGAAAAAGCTCAAGTGAGCTTCACTTAGGCACACCCCAGACGCACAGTGTGCTTCATGCACTCGAGGCCACCAACTCGGCAAGACGCCCCCCAGCCCCGTAAGGACGCCAACACGGCCTCCAGATGGAATGCAACGATTGGTGCCAAACCTCGTCAAAGCCATGCACCGAACAAAAACTGATCGCAGATCTTCGTGCAAATTTCCCTGCGGGGGTGCGCGCCGTGACTCCCGCTCTGCGGGCTCAATACATTGCAAGCGGCGCGTCCAAAAAAAATGTTCATTGAGCTCAACCGCGCGGGAGCTCCCGACGTCTTAGCTTCAATCAATTTCCCCTGCTCGCGCGGCCAGGCCAAAAGACCCTGATCTGTTCTTATTGTGCGGGCGCGGCAGATGATGGACGTACGCGGCTGCACCCGCGCGCCGAACTAGATCCCCTGCAAGGACAAGAGGCGCCCTGAGGAGACAGGAGAATGGAGAGACGAGGATGGAGAGGAGGGCGAACACGGCGAGGAGGGGGAGGGGTAGGAATGAATTCAACGTTCTCACTTTTTTGGGAGCCCTCCTCGTCGCAACGCCTGGATCCGCATCGTGGCCCTGGTCGGAACGCGCCACGGAACAGGTCGGGGGATCGAGTTTGAGGGAAGATGGGGAGCAACAGCAGCATGGACCAGGATGAGCTTAAGGAAGCTGAGGGGGGAAGGATGGGGCGGAGGAGAATAACAACAGAGAAGAACGAGATGCACAGACTTTCTCGAGGGGAGGAAGAGGCAGAGCTGGACGTGGCGGCGGAGGACCGCCCCCAGATGCTCTTTTGGCATCGTGTTCTCTGCGGCGGCTGCCCAGGGACAGCGCGCACGCCTCAGATGGTCGCCCCGCGCTGGGCCAGCGGGCCGGATGGCACGCTCAGCACCCGGCCGACTCAGCGAAGCAGCAGTTGCCCGGGCAGCGGTCACAATTACAACCGGCGCCCTGAGCGCGACCGGAGCGGCTGCTCTGCAGCTCCAGCCACGCCGACTGCTCGACCTGGAGGAAGGGGAAAGAAGGCCGAGGAGGCGACACCCAGGACGACGGAAAGGAGGGTGGGCTCTTTACACTCCTCCTCCTCCTCCTCCTCCTCCTCCTCCTCCTCCTCCTCCTCCTCCTCCTCCTCCTCCGTCGCCAATCACGGGGCGGCGTCCGGAAGGAGTCCAGAGGAACGGGAGAAAGGCGAGGACGACACCGACGACGACGAGAGAGGGAGGGCCTCCACTTTTTCCCTCCTCCTTTCCGAGGGGCCCCCCCGTCGCCGAGGCACAAGACGCAGCTCGAACGGACTGGTCAGGGGGCGGTGTCCAGAAGAGGCGTCCAGAAGAACGGCTCTTGGAGTCTTGAAGCGCCCCGTCCCGCGGGGCGGCCCGAGTTAGCGCGCGGGACACGCGGGGAGGCAAGAGAAGGGCACGAGACAGTGAAGCGGCGACTCGCACAGCGAAACGCGATGCGGCGTGGCAGAGCCGATGACGCCAACGACGAGGACGACGAAGGGAAGGCCACCCAAAGGGGGCCAGCGTGAGAACAGGGTCGCAGGATCGCGCCGCATCGCCGACGCATCGGCCATGCCATGCATCGGCGACGTCTGGTCTAAGAGATCGGGCCCCGCATCGCGCCTCGTCGCAGATGCTACGGCGACGCGGCGCGATCCTCCGACCCGAGCTGCTCCGGCCACGTTTGGGCAGCCTGGACGTGGATGGGCCGACCCGGCCCAGACCTTGGGAAGCCGCTGGAAGGCCGCCTTGAGCTTGACGTCCGCGAGTTCCGCCGTCAGCTCTTGGATCCTGGCCTTCGCCGTCTCCGTGTCCATCGCAACCTCGAGCGCAGGTCTGCTTGCGAGCGAGGCGCAGACGAGGCACGCAATCGCGAGAACGCGAAAGCTCATCATCGCTGCTGCGGGCGGCAGGCGGTGAAAGCGCGGCGCGCAAACGACGGCGCAAAGTGTTACCAAAGGAGTGGGGATAGCTTGGTCCAGGATGGCAGCGGAAGGAACCTGGCACAGCGAGGCAGGCGAGGGGACATGCCGATGTAGAGGCCCGCAAACTTCAAATCGAGACGCCAACTGACAGCTACCATGACCCTCGATGGATCCATCCACCATGCTCGATACTCCATGGAGAGTCGCCGGCCCACCGGGCCAAAGGCGTGCTGGAATCACCGCGCTCCGCGAGCGCGCGGCGGCCCCTGGCGGTCCCCCGACGAGAAGTACCCCAGGCGGTCCCCGGCAGGGCCCCGGCAGGTCTGGGCTAGCGGCTGTGGATGCTGGAGCTCCTGGGCGCGGCCCGGGGGGAGCACACCAGGGCGCCCCAGGCGCGCCCCAGGGAGGCCCCAGACACAGCGGGTGGCAGCCCCAACGCACGGGCTCACGCAAAGAGCGCTCCAGGACGGCTCAAGGTGATTTCGAGGCGGCCCAAGCAGCGCTGAAGACGCCCGAACGAGCGCTCCACCCCAAGAGGGCTCCAAGAGGTCCCTCGTCGCAACGGCTGGATCCGCATCGTGGCCCCGGTCGGAACGCGCCACGGAACAGGTCGGGGGATCGAGTTTGAGGGAAGACGGGGAGCAGCAGCAGGATGGACCAGCATGAGCTGAGGGAGCGGAAGGGGAGGGACGGGATGGAAGAGAACAACAACAAAGAAGAACGAGATGCGTAGAAGTTCTCGAGGGGAGGAAGAAGCAGAGTTGGAGGTGGCGGCGGAGGAGCGCCCCGCAAACGCTCTCTTGGCATCGTGTTTTCTCTCTGCGGCGGCTGCCCAGGGACAGCGCGCACGCCTCAGATGGTCGCCCCGCGCTGGGCCAGCGGGCCGGATGGCACGCTCAGCACCCGGCCGACTCAGCGAAGCAGCAGTTGCCCGGGCAGCGGTCACAATTACAACCGGCGCCCTGAGCGCGACCGGAGCGGCTGCTCTGCAGCTCCAGCCACGCCGACTGCTCGACCTGGAGGAAGGGGAAAGAAGGCCGAGGAGGCGACACCCACGACGACGGAAAGGAGGGTGGGCTCTTTACACTTCTCCTCCTCCTCCTCCTCCTCCTCCCCCTCCTCCTCCTCCTCCTCCTCCTCCCACTTTTTCCCTCCTCCTTTTCGAGCTTGCTGGGGGCCCCCCGTCGCCGAGGCACAAGACGCAGCTCGAACGGACTGGTCGGGGGGCGGCGTCCAGAAGAGGCGTCCAGAAAAACGGCTCTTGGAGTCTTGAAGCGCCCCGTCCCGCGGGGCGGCCCGAGTTAGCGCGCGGGACACGCGGGGAGGCAAGAGAAGGGCACGAGAGGGTGAAGCGGCGACTCGCACAGCGAAACGCGATGCGGCGTGGCAGAGCCGATGACGCCAACGACGAGGACGACGAAGGGAAGGCCACCCAAAGGGGGCCAGCGTGAGAACAGGGTCGCAGGATCGCGCCGCATCGCCGACGCATCGGCCATGCATCGGCGACGTCTGGTCTAAGAGATCGGGCCCCGCATCGCGCCGCGTCGCAGATGCTACGGCGACGCGGCGCGATCCTCCGACCCGAGCTGCTCCGGCCACGTTTGGGCAGCCTGGACGTGGATGGGCCGACCCGGCCCAGACCTTGGGAAGCCGCTGGAAGGCCGCCTTGAGCTTGACGTCCGCGAGTTCCGCCGTCAGCTCTTGGATCCTGGCCTTCGCCGTCTCCGTGTCCATCGCAACCTCGAGCGCAGGTCTGCTTGCGAGCGAGGCGCAGACGAGGCACGCAATCGCGAGAACGCGAAAGCTCATCATCGCTGCTGCGGGCGGCAGGCGGTGAAAGCGCGGCGCGCAAACGACGGCGCAAAGTGTTACCAAAGGAGTGGGGATAGCTTGGTCCAGGATGGCAGCGGAAGGAACCTGGCACAGCGAGGCAGGCGAGGGGACATGCCGATGTAGAGGCCCGCAAACTTCAAATCGAGACGCCAACTGACAGCTACCATGACCCTCGATGGATCCATCCACCATGCTCGATACTCCATGGAGAGTCGCCGGCCCACCGGGCCAAAGGCGTGCTGGAATCACCGCGCTCCGCGAGCGCGCGGCGGCCCCTGGCGGTCCCCCGACGAGAAGTACCCCAGGCGGTCCCCGGCAGGGCCCCGGCAGGTCTGGGCTAGCGGCTGTGGATGCTGGAGCTCCTGGGCGCGGCCCGGGGGGAGCACACCAGGGCGCCCCAGGCGCGCCCCAGGGAGGCCCCAGACACAGCGGGTGGCAGCCCCAACGCACGGGCTCACGCAAAGAGCGCTCCAGGACGGCTCAAGGTGATTTCGAGGCGGCCCAAGCAGCGCTGAAGACGCCCGAACGAGCGCTCCACCCCAAGAGGGCTCCAAGAGGTCCCTCGTCGCAACGGCTGGATCCGCATCGTGGCCCCGGTCGGAACGCGCCACGGAACAGGTCGGGGGATCGAGTTTGAGGGAAGACGGGGAGCAGCAGCAGGATGGACCAGCATGAGCTGAGGGAGCGGAAGGGGAGGGACGGGATGGAAGAGAACAACAACAAAGAAGAACGAGATGCGTAGAAGTTCTCGAGGGGAGGAAGAAGCAGAGTTGGAGGTGGCGGCGGAGGAGCGCCCCGCAAACGCTCTCTTGGCATCGTGTTTTCTCTCTGCGGCGGCTGCCCAAGGACAGCGCGCACGCCTCAGATGGTCGCCCCGCGCTGGGCCAGCGGGCCGGATGGCACGCTCAGCACCCGGCCGACTCAGCGAAGCAGCAGTTGCCCGGGCAGCGGTCACAATTACAACCGGCGCCCTGAGCGCGACCGGAGCGGCTGCTCTGCAGCTCCAGCCACGCCGACTGCTCGACCTGGAGGAAGGGGAAAGAAGGCCGAGGAGGCGACACCCACGACGACGGAAAGGAGGGTGGGCTCTTTACACTTCTCCTCCTCCTCCTCCTCCTCCTCCTCCTCCCACTTTTTCCCTCCTCCTTTTCGAGCTTGCTGGGGGCCCCCCGTCGCCGAGGCACAAGACGCAGCTCGAACGGACTGGTCGGGGGGCGGCGTCCAGAAGAGGCGTCCAGAAGAACGGCTCTTGGAGTCTTGAAGCGCCACGTCCCGCGAGGCGGCCCGAGTTAGCGCGCGGGACACGCGGGGAGGCAAGAGAAGGGCACGAGAGGGTGAAGCGGCGACTCGCACAGCGAAACGCGATGCGGCGTGGCAGAGCCGATGACGCCAACGACGAGGACGACGAAGGGAAGGCCACCCAAAGGGGGCCAGCGTGAGAACAGGGTCGCAGGATCGCGCCGCATCGCCGACGCATCGGCCATGCATCGGCGACGTCTGGTCTAAGAGATCGGGCCCCGCATCGCGCCGCGTCGCAGATGCTACGGCGACGCGGCGCGATCCTCCGACCCGAGCTGCTCCGGCCACGTTTGGGCAGCCTGGACGTGGATGGGCCGACCCGGCCCAGACCTTGGGAAGCCGCTGGAAGGCCGCCTTGAGCTTGACGTCCGCGAGTTCCGCCGTCAGCTCTTGGATCCTGGCCTTCGCCGTCTCCGTGTCCATCGCAACCTCGAGCGCAGGTCTGCTTGCGAGCGAGGCGCAGACGAGGCACGCAATCGCGAGAACGCGAAAGCTCATCGTCGCTGCTGTGAGCGGAAGGCAGTGGAGGTGCGGTCCACAGATAACAGCGGAAAGCTTTAACTTAGGAATGGGGATAGCTTGATCCAGGATGGCAACGGAAGCAACCTGGCACAACGAGGCATGCAAACATTTATGCCGATGAGGAGGTCCGCACATTGGTGGATCGGCGTTCCATGGACCAAGAGAGCTTACAGTCGGAATACCCATTACACACTTTGAACCCAACGAACCTCGACCTTCTCCTCCTCCTCCTCCTCCTCCTCCCCCCACCTCCTCCTCCTCATCCTCATCCTCCTCCTCCTCGTCCTCCTCCTCCTCCTCCGCCTCCTCCTCGTCCTTCACCACATGCTCCTTGTCCTCGCCCTCCTCTTCCCTTTGCCTCCTCTCTCTCTTTCTCTCTCTCTCTCTCTCTCTCTCTCTCTCTCTCCTCCTCCTCCTCCTCCCCTCCTCCTCCTCCTCCTCCTCCTCCTCCTCCTCCTCCTCCTCCTCATCCTCCTCCTCCTCCTCCTCCTCCTCCTCTTCCTCCTCCTCATCATCATCATCATCATCATCATCATCATCATCATCAGCATCATCATCATCAGCATCATCATCACCACCACCACCACCACCATCATCATCATCATCATCATCATCATCATCAGCATCGTCATCATCATCATCAACAGCAGCATTATCATCATCCTCAGCAGCATCATCACAGCATCATCATCATCATCATCATCATCGTCATCATCATGATCATCATCATCATCATCATCATCATCATCATCATCATCATCATCGTCATCATCATCATCATCATCATCATCATCATCATCATCATCATCATCATCATCATCATCATCATTAGCAGCACAATCATCATCATCATCATCAGCAGCAGCAACATCATCATAATCGTCATCATCAGAATCAGCATCCTCGTCAGCATCAGCATCAGCATCAGCATCATCATCATCAGCAGCAGCATCATCAACAGCATCATCAGCATCATCAGCATCATCATCATCATCAGCATCATCATCATCACCAGCATCAGCATCATCATCATCATCGTCATCATCCTCATCATCATCATCATCAGCATCAGCATCAGCATCAGCATCAGCATCATCATCGTCAGTGTCACCATCACCAGCATCAGCATCATCATCATCATCATCAGCAGCAGCAGCATCAGCAGCATCATCCTCATCATCAGCATCAGCATCATCATCCTCCTCCTCCTCCTTCTCTCTTTGTTCCTCCTCCTCCTCCTTCTCCTCATCCTTCTCCTCCACGACCCCAGGCTGGCCCCCTCTCGAGCCGTCGATGGCCTCTAGAAAACCCTGCAGGCCCCATAACGACTCAATACAGCCCCAGGAGCACCCCCAAAAGGCCCCCCCAAGGGCTCCTGACAGGGGCCCCCAAGACGGCCAAAGAGCGCCCCGCGACGACCCACGATGCCTCCACGACGTGCGAGAACGGCCCGAGAAGACACCAGGAAACAACCTGGGGCCACCCGAGGCCACCCAGAACCCCGCATAGGCCTCCAGGAGGCCACCAGGGCACACCCTAGGAGACCTCAAG